CCTAAGCTGTAATTTCCAATTACAGAGAAATGAAAGTTAGAATATTTAATCTCCAAGAACTAGAAATGAAATTTAAACAAATCATTGTCTTGAAAAATTACACACAAACTTCCATGGCTTTCATTACCTTTGACAGGAGACTAGGTGCCTTTGAAGAGGCTTCTTTCTGCAATAATTCAAGTTGGGCAATACTCCTTTACGACCTCAAACATCATCCTTTAACGCTTCTATTGAATGCCTCCAGTCAAAAATGTCTTTGAAGTGCCTCTGTGTAGAAGTTATTAAAAATGATTTCATATAAATTTTTTCAAATTATAACTTCTTTGGAATCTATAGAGTATTTAATGTTACTGAATTTATACCTTGGATCTGTCCAAATGATCGTGATCAAGAGAAAGGTAGGACAAGAGTTTCGATTCACTTAGCTTCGCAACAAGCAAACCATGTCACAAAATCTGTTCATTCAAAGGTATAATATAATTAATCAGGCATAACAAAAATTTTAAAAATTTTTCGAGAATTTGTATTATCGGATTTATTGTGGAAATAACAAGCTGCATGGAGAGTGGTGAAATTAGTTTACCCTCACTTCTGGGTTTCTCATTTTGATTCAATCCCACCGTAGCATTTGAACTAGAAGATACCATTGTCTTTTTAGCCTAAAAAAAGAGTTCAAATTTCAATTAAGATAAAAAAAGGAAAAGATAATGGCCATGCCATATATTAAATTGTTGAGCGGTTTTTGGGAGCATAGCTTATTTGTTTTTCTTGGCTCGAGAATATACATTGATGAAATTGTCGCTATATGGGCTAATCCAAAATGTATGGGGGCTGCAACCTGCAAGGGAAACAAAAAAAAAAACAAGGTAAATTCAGGCAATTTCAAAGCCGAACTGAAACAACCCATAAGCATAAAAAATCAAGTTGGTCGTAGGTCATTCGCTAATATAATAGTCATAGCCACCCGCTCGTCAAAAATTTGGCTGCGACCACTAAAATTCTTGGAGTCCAAATTAATGCCACACCCCGCAGCACAAAGTCCCCAACCTTGTCAAAGTTCTTTCCTCAAGGAAGAAAAACCCAATCCAAACAACAACAAATGGAAAAAAGGGAAAAATTAATCTTTCTGCAAAAAGACGTTCTTGATGAAAAAAAAATTAAAAAAGGAAATTCTTGATTAAAAAAATTTTTAATCACAGAAAAGAAAATGAGAAAAACTTTAATTATGAAAAATAAAATGTTCTTTTTAAAAGTAACTTTTTTATGAATTAATAAAAAGCGGAAAAAAAAAAGCATAAGAAACGGAAATCAATCCGGTCTTCCTTCGTGGAAACTTGATTCATGTTACTGGGAAATTCGTTTTTAACTTACTTTAACATTTCGCCGATGGTGATTAAATTGATAGAAAGGACAGCAACAAACAATTCTCAAAAATCTTTTTTTATAATTACTGAGTTCTATCGTGAGAATGAAGATATGGGAAATGCATTTGGTTTTTCTCGAGAAGAAACAAAACAGAAACTAAGAAAACTAGAAAATGTTAGGGAAAAAACAATGTGTGTCCAGCGAAATTTTGACCTTTACAGGAAATTTTCCAAAAACGCGCTTTGGCCATCGAAATGGCTGCATTTCTGGTGACAGCACGTTGGCCATGGCCAATCTTTCTTTGTAAAGGGTTTGTAAGAATCAAAGCCCAAATTGTCTTTTCTTCTTCTTCCACGTGATTGATCCAAAAACGGTAACAATTTAAGGAACATGATATCACCCACCATTTAACGTAAGAAGCAGCAAAAATCTTACGGCCCATATATCTTTTTACTTAGATCTCAAACTTCTGTCCCATTCACGCCGTCCCAATTGCCCCATCCTCGAGTCCGAGGGCAAGCCAAGCATCAGGAACAAAGAAGAATAACTCTTCCGACGAAACAATAGATACTAATACGGGATGGTGGATGGTGGTGATGTGTGGTGATGGTGGCCAATGGGAAAGAGCCCGTTAACGGTCTGTCCTTCTTCGTTCGGGGACAACAATTTCATTAATATCGGAGAAGCAGAAATTTTCTGTAATCGGGCGGCGGCATCAACGCGTCGTCTAGTTGGCGGTGGGCCCAAGGTGTGGCTGCTTGGGGGCTAACTGTTGGTTGGAGCGAAAGCGGCGCGCGGGGACCACCGGGACTGGACTGTCATGCCTGCCGGGAAAAAATAAAACAAAATTATTCCGCCAGGACACAGAAGGAAAAGCTGCCGAAAAAAAAAAGCTCGAATAGAAAGAGGAGAGAGAGGAAGAGAGTGAACGTTAGTCGACTTGGGTCTTTGTTTGAGAATGGAGTTGGTTAGTTCTCCGGTGAGGCAAGGAGGAGGCTCCGGATCTAAGAACGAGAAGAGGTGGCGGAATTCTCTCTTTC